AACCGAGATCCTAAGGTCGCACATAAACGAGCAAGTCGGAAAAACTTTGCGATTGAGCTGAAAATTGAACTGAAGACCCATATAAATTTGTTTTGATTAAATATTAAACTTATAACTAAGTTATAAAAAGTTCGACCGCGATTGGTGTTGGAACAGAAGCCCAATTAAGTTTGACATTTTTATTCACTCTTTATGACAGCTCCAAGTTGGAACTTTTCTAACGAGACCAACTGAATAGTATGTAGAAACACAAGCAACCCATGCAACCACCACAAACAAGACACAATCAGACAAAACACCATTCAAAAAGGGACGCTTCCCTAATACCAAATTCACTCATGAATACAGAAAAGACGCAAATGTTGTGAAAACGCAGGATCAGTTCTGGAATTAACTATGGAAAAATAACTAACTATCACCAAAACCTACTATACCTACGGGGGTCAAAAGCTTCGTTTCAGTAGATCTTTAATATTAGAATTTTCTTAAAACTTAAATTTCAGATCATAAGGTGCTAATGTATATTGTAACGGAAGCTCTTAAAATATTACGAAAGATTAAAATGCATTTTTAGAGAAGATTCACCACGTGATCAAAAATAAAGTTATCAAAACTGTTAAAACACTGACGTTGTCGCAAAAGCTAACCGGATTTGCAATAATACTTTTGAGAAACGTTTTTTGACAAAATTCCAACTGAGAAGCTTTCGAAATTCAAATCCATTCACGGCAGAATAAAAATCCTAGAAAAACATGAGAAATCCAAATCCAAGTCTAGAAAGGGCGGAGCAAAAATAGATTGAAGATAGGGTCATATGGAATATATTTATGGCCTATCCGCGAAGCACCGTTCAAAACACCGACAATTTATCATGTCAAAAAAACTTAAATCAATTGCATTTTTGGAACAAAAAGGGTCAGAAAAAAATATACGGGATGATCATACACTGCGCAATAATCGCAGAATTATGAAAAATGTTCTTCAAAGTTGAAAGTATTGCAATACAGCTCACACCGAATAACTTCACTCATTAGACCTATTGAGAAATCGGCTAAATGGTTTTTGCTTGTTACATAGATAGAAAAACCGAAGCGTGAACAAAACTAAATATTGGATAGTTTCAGTCGACCAACAAAAATGAGTTCAGATATCTTATCAAGCAGGGTAGGGGGAAGTCAGGAATAAACCCTATTGACTATTTAATTGACACTAGAGCCAAACTCCAGAGCACAAACTTCGCTACTTTTACTATTATTGGTTATCACATTATAACTAACCTAAAGTTGGAAGTGCAAGCAGCCGAAAAAACGATACGCATTAATGTGCAGAAACGTCCGAATGATTCATATATTTTTTGATAGCTTCAAGAGAATTTTCAATTTGAAAAAAAAAGAGTCCAAAACTTTCTGAGTGCAAATGTCTCAAGACGATCATTCGGAAAGCGAAAATTAGACTGTAGTTCCAGTAGGTTTGCTATTTGGTAGTTGTTAATTCGCGTGAGTGACTTTCTATTAGCTACTAAAAATTTTTCTTATATAGCGCGTTAGTCTGGTTATTCAGATTCCTGGTCCTTACTCGAGAGCAGAGGGTAGGGCTCTATTAAGGTCTTTTTGCCCCCTCAGCGGGTTTACTGTGATTAGAGCAGGACACACTTCGACTGTTATAACTTCTTAGTCAACAATAACACACTAGTTAGTACTATAACCGAGTCAGGACTGCTGGTCGTAAAGTGGAAGACTGATAAGCGTCACTATTTCCTAGTTTCCTCCCAGGTCCAATCCCAACCCAAACACCAGACTCAAAACACTTATTCATACCATTACAAATTGCCGCAAGTTAGTTTACCCAAAAGCAAAGTATTTTTGAACAAAAAAAAATTGAAAATTGTTTTGAAAAAGTTTGAAAATTGCTTTGAAAAAAAAGTTTTCGAAATCAACAAACCATTTTTTTGCAATAAGACGCAAGGAAAAATTTCATAAACCTTAAAATCATTGAAGCTTTTTTGTCCAAAAATGTTTTGGGAGCTTTGTGATTATATTTAATGTGAAAAAAAAAAATAACTTTTTTAAAACTTAAGTTTCCTTTTCTTTGTCGGCTCTATCTAGCTTCGACTCTGTGAAGCTCCGAACATAGTTCACAGCTCATAAAGTCATTCGGGGCAGGTTATAAAGCAAGTTAGCAGTTGGGTTATAACTAGTTGAATAAATTAACGTTTTATTGCCCTGTCCTAGTTTTTCCTGTCGTCCAACAAACGGGGAAAATGGCGGGTGAATTTGGAATGATTGAAACAGTTGCGGAATAAAACGAGTTCATATATGCGAACTGCAAGTCGTGACTTTATAAATGACAAGTTGTTGTTTTCTCAAACTACAACAAACTGGACAGCCTAGAGACGAAATTTAGGGACGGTAACTTAATTCAAAGAGTGAAAAGAAGCCAGAGAAATAGTAGAAGCCAGTTAAGCCAGAAACAGAACCTAAATCTAAACCCAAGGTTTACTGCGCATGTCTCGAAAGATTGCTTGGCTTACTTATGTTGATTTTGAGAGTCAGTTCTGAAGCTTGTAAAGCTTCCAGCAAGAAGTTGAATAGAGTTAAATAAATAAAAAAGACTACATTGACACGAAGAATACAAGGTCGTTTTTAGCTCGTTAGCTCCAGAAAGAACTAAATCATCTGGTTTGCACTAAAAAATAATCATTAACAAATTCTTTTTTACAGCTAAAATGTGGCACCTATTAAGAATCTTCGGTTGAAATTGAGTGCCAACTCAAATGGTGCTAAAGGACATTCCAAAAAAATCTCATACATTGTCCAAAACATTTTTAAAAAAATTGCTCATCAAAATATTGAAATTAATGGAGCTTAAACAGTTGAGGATTGCAACCAAGTTAAGCATGCTCTGTGAACGCAATTAAACTTCAGCCGAAATAGCATTTGTTCAGCCTGATTTGAGGGGCGGATCTCTTAAACTGACTGAAAACGTTCTGGTTGATTAGTGACTGGGCAAAGTTTACCCACATATCGCAAATCAACATCTTCGATCTATTCGGCCAACAAACACCCCCAGATACACTAGACGTCTTTAAGTCAAAACTGCTGCAGTTAAGTACTAAATGAGAGCTTACAAATAAATTTTGTACCATTCCAATGACTGACATAACAGTTACAGGGCATCGTGCAAGCAACCGATAGGTCAAACAACCGAAAAAAGAAAAACTGGTGCAAACATCCGAAAAACAGCTTTACTAGGCAAAGGTAACTGGGAGTTCTTATGGCTTTAACCCCCATTTAACCACCATTTAAAAAATCCGAAATTTTTATATAATAAGGTAATTTTGATGAAAGTTCGGATGTTCGAAACAGTTTCTCATATCGGGTATTTGCTTTAGACTACCAATCACAACAGAACCAAAATTTGCAGTAAAAAACAAATCTACTTAAAAATATGTAGTAAAGCGTATCGTATCGAGCAAAAAGCGAAACATGAAAAATATAGGAGCAAAAACTGAGAATTTTCTATCAAATGGTTTGTATTATGATAGAAGAATTATGACACCATCATTCATTCGCTGAACTGTCAATTCGGTCTAGTGCACAAGATCCAAGCTTAAAACCATTCAGTGACGTTTTAAAGATTACGACAAATAACAAATGTGAACAGGTTTATGAAAGCACAGACTGTTATTCTAAATCACGCCAGCGACACTCGCAGTCAGTTATATATACTCGTAATATTTCAACAGGACAAAGAAGGACAGATCGCTAACTAGTCATAAAAGAAGATCCACTCTAGTCGTAAATCAATTATTACCAACAGTTCTGGTCAATCGATTGTGTTCACATTTTGTCAGTAAAGATTGTCCAATAAAAGGGCGGATTTACGGGGGGAGGGCGCATAACTTGTCAGATATTTGACCCCCTCACCGCCCGAAGGATCATCTTTTAGTACTATTTAACGGTATCCATTTTGAACCAATAGACACATTTACTCATGGCGCCACATTTACTCATTTTGAGGTGGGAGCGTCTTTTTAGTGTTTTCGGAGAACGATGAAAATCAATTTGGTCGACCTAAAAAGGCCAGAGAAAATTTCGAAAAATTTTCGAAATTTTCATTTTTTTTTAATTGTCAAACAAAATGTCAAACAAAAAAAATTAACAGAAATAATCGAAAATTTGATAAGAAATGAGATCAGCGATCAGCTAGTTAATTTGAATATATTTTCAGAGAAAAATCTGCCAATTTTTGAACGAAAAAATTTGAGAACAGCCAATAAAAATTCGGAGCATGTCATATTTTTGGGTGAAAACTACCTATTTACTAACATTTTACGCAAATCGTTCGGTCAATTAGTATTAAAAAATGTTGAAAATTTATTTATTTTGGCTTTTGATTTATTATTAAGCGCAATTTGAATACACAAAAACAGTTGCGTTCTGACGTTTTAATAAACAAAGCCAAACTGTCAAGCTCGGAACAATATGGCTTATTAAACTCAATTTGAGTTATAAGCAATGTTTATGCATTGAATGCCCGGCGGAGAGCACAAAAGTCAAATAAGCCCGAAGAAAAAACAATATTTTGCATTATTGAGACTCGCTTCCGATTATTTGCTCGGACTAGCTGGCGCAACGGAATTCAATAAACAGTCACTTAATTCAGTTATCCGCTTAGTGACAAACAAATTGACTAATATTGAGTTTCAGAAATGCCAATAAACAGAGCTTTTAAAACTCAGCTGTGCAAAACTCGCCAATATGTTCAAAAAAGACGGGAAAAATCTGACCAAATTGAATAAAAATAGATGAAAAGAAAGCCGAACAATGAATTAGAACAATACCAGTTAACTGAATAAAAATTGAAAAAAACGCACCAGTTTGCAGTCTAACAGGCAACATTTCCCAAATAAAGACATGAAAAAAGTTCAAAAATATGACATCAGCTGGATTGGATCCTGCAACCTCTTGTTTGACATCTACATGGTAGATGTGACTAACCTGTGAGTTGGGGCTGTCGGAGAGGGGATACTGGTGGTGTAGTGAGGTGGGGGAGAGAGCTCCTCCGGGAGTGCCGGCGGCCCCACAGCCCAACAGTGTGTCGCTCTGCATCTTGTTCTTGAGACAGGCGATGTACCTCTGGCAGAAGTCCTTACACAGTTCATTGACCTTTTCTAACTCCAGAAGGTGGATGCGCAACACTTGAATTGCCCGGATCATCTGGAACACACATACACATAAAAATAAATATCAGAGAAGCTATATTTTTCAAACTTGATTTAAAATATAAACACTAATCAAGTTACAATATTAATTATCAATGTGCACAGTTCGTGTTTAAAAAGTTGTTTTGGCCACTCTTGATTCTGATCAATTTTTTTTGGCATTTTTCGTTATTTTGATCGTCAGAAGCACGTTAGCACTGCGGTCATTTTCAAACACACAATTTCATTTTATTCGTCATGTTTCCTCCCGATTTAGCGCAAAATTAAATAGGAAAAATTGTCAGACTGACATTCGAAAACAAATTGAAAGGATATTTCAATTTTAGAATATTCTATTCGGGCGCCATGCTACCATGATTGAATGAATTGCGACGGGTGATGCATTTTATAGATAAAAATTAGAGCAGATCAGCACAACACCCGCGGGAATTCTGCCAGCCTCCTTTCTCTGCTGATGACACAAACTCAAACCAATTAGGACTTGTTGGGGTCAGTTTGGAATTAGCAAGAGGCTAATTTGAAACACGAACCGGACACTTAATCCCCATTTCAGAATTTAAGAGCGACTAGAAACCCCACACACGCTTGAAACAAAGGAGTCTCTAAATTAAGAGCTTCGCTGGGAAATTAATGGGAAAATGTAGGAAATTACTGACAAAAAAGTAAAAATGTACAATAAAAATTATGAAAATTACTGCGAGACATAAATTGTAGGTAGGGCATATGCAATCGACAATACCCTGACAGGGCTGGGGTTATGTGAATATTGGGTGGGGGGTTGGATTCTTTTGAGTGTGGGTAGCGTTATATGAGATGTGGTGCTTTGTATGGGTAATTGGGATTAAAATATAAAATAGGCATTGAATTAATTTCCATTTTAATTGAGGGATATTCCTTTCCCCAGGATACTTTTCCAATTAGACTATGCTGATGTCCCCCCGTTCCTTACTACTATTATTCTCCAGTGCTTCATTACACAAAGTGAGACAGCACAGAACAGAAGAAAAGTTGAGCCTATATGAATATGCATATCACATCAAATCTCCCAACCCCCTCCCCCGTCCCCCCAATCATCTTCAAAACCTAAATGTCTAATGGGGTCAATGAGCCGAAAATATCAGACCAACAGTTGTCGACCTATTTACTAAACAGTTTTTGAGTAAAAAATGCGAACGATTTTAAACCGACAAACAATTTTTCCATTTTCTCAAGTTCGAAAAAATAGGAATAGATTTGCAAGTAAAGATCGATTCGATTCCCAAATCATCTTGCAATGAAAATAATTGAATGCAAGGATACTTCTTTGTTCTATTTTTGAATAAACTTAGCATCAATTCTGATAATAGAAAGAGCCACTTTCAATCATTTTTACACATGACACGTTGAGTTGTGACTCAAATACCTCTTTAGGGATTTGCATTATAGTATAGGATTGAAAAAAGAAAACAGCAAGGGGGCGCTTTTATTTGTCGGATCGGGTCGGGGGTTGGACTCCGCAGCAGTATAGCTAAGAGGGGCTTGTGAAAAGGGGAGGGGCTGTTTAATTCAAGTCTCTTGGGGGAGTTGGGTTGATGATGTCGTGTGTAATTTGGACAATTAGAATCGTAACTGACAGTGCATGACAGCAGTGCATCTAGTCCCAAAGGGCGGCATCATATCAAAGCAAGATCCATTGGAGCTAACAAAGAGAGAAGACAAGAGACGAAGGCTGACCTTCTATTTAGCCGAACACTTCTAGTTCCTTTATTAATTCTACATTTAAGATTGAAATTCTTCGGTTTTCAAAAAACAATTCACATTAATTTAAGTCCAAAAAATTTTTGGTAAATAATTTTTTTTGAACTTGTCCATTCAATTTTTTGAAATTAAAGGGTCATTTTTTTTCGAAATCAATTAAATTTTCTGAAAAAATCAGTTTTTTAAACTTCAATTTTTCGAACTTGAGTTTAGCGAAATAGTTAAGTGGGCCAGCTGAATATTCGGCTAGTAGATTGGTCTAGGGGTTGGAGGCATGTGATTGGTATGTGTGGTGGTATGGGTTGGTATAATGAATGTAAGGTGGCCTTTGGGCGACTTAGGGGTGGGATCTATCTCAAATATCTCCCATCTATCTCTCTCCCTTCCCTCTATCGTTCTTTCGCCTATCCTTTCCCTTCCTCCCCGGGTGTTTGCCATATAGGCAGATGGACTGCATTCAGTTTCTATTGCATGTCATTAGGTTGAGAGATGGCAACAAAATCAAATCCACTCCATCACTCATGTAATTTCAAACATCTTTGTCTTTAGCTAGCAAGTGGCGCAAAATGATGCAGCCAAATTGCTAATCCGGCTTAAAACTAAAGTGCCAAATATTCACGCCAGTTTCAGTTTTTGCACCCACCATCGAAAAAAGTGACGGGATATTTAAGCTTGAGGTTTTTTCTTGAGACAAATTTCCAGTTTTTAACAAACGGTTCTTTACGGAATTTTCAACGTCATCTGAAAAAATTGTTGCCCTTAGCCCCAAAGTAAAAAAGCAACTGAAATCAAATTTTCCAAAATTATAGGTTTGAAAACCACCAATTTGGGATAATTAAAGTGAGCTAAATTAAGAGCTTTCTATTTATCTGCAGCAAAGGCGGCAAATTAATCCGCAACAGAAATCATTCCAAATTGAATGACGGCTTGCTGAATTGATTCAACTGATTGTTTACTAGACATAAATAATGTTTTTTGTATTTGAAATTGCAATTGTGGAAACATCTTCAAAAAAATCAAATCATTCAAAATTTTAGGGTCAATTTTTACAAAAAATAATTTATGCACACTGAATGGCATCCAGAACTGAATGGCATTTTCAAACTACCAGAACTTCGCAAAAAACAATCGGAGGTAAAATATCTTTTTATATTTGATTCCAGAGTGAATATCTTCAACGGGGCATAAAAAATTTTTGTCAAAAACTAATATATCGATCGCCGAAAATTGACTGAAAGTCGGAACAAAAATTAGGACTATTCGTACCATGCGAAGCCTTAAATGTTATAATTGCCTTTTTGCCTAATGAATTAAAACATTGTTTGAAAATTTGATGAAACTTTCAAAATAAAATTGATTCCATTTTTGAAATTCTTGCCCCAAGCAATGCCAAGAAGAAATTTAAACAGTTTGCATCTTGCAACACATAGGTTACTTCAAGTAGTTTGCCGCAAATCACTGTGGAATATTTTCTGTGCCAGATGAAATCAGCGTGTACGCCATACTTTAATAGAAATCTAGCGCACACCAACTATCTCAAATTGGCACGTTGTAAGCTTCATAATTTACTGAGCAATGATTGCAAAAAATTCATTTTTTGTACTGATCACGTCACTGACATTACAGCATAAGTTCAGCTCATCGGACTTCCAATGTGGTGTCATATGGAAACCCTATTGGTCGCAATTAGGATTCTTAAAACATCACAAATGGTTTCTCAGTATCGAGAAAAACGCGTCTCAATTTTGAATTTTGATGAGAAGATTACGCCCTAAATTTAATTCTACAACAATTTTAACAATATTTTAACTATACTTTTTAATTGAAATTATCCCTCGTTCTAGCATTTTTTACCTGATTCACTTTGTCCATTCTACAAAAAATAGGAAACTTTGACATGTTGCAAAAGCTTGATTATTTTTTCGAATTACTCTTTTCTTCCATCGGTTTGGTTGAAACATTTTGTGCTACTTGCACAGCAGCCACCTATCCTTGTATCTTTTGACTTTCAACACCTAAAAATCTTTCGCGTGATAAAAAAAATAGGTGAAAAAACATTTTAAAAAATGTCCAAACTGACCGAAAATAGAAGAAACTATTCTCAAACAGTAATCTTTGAAAGTCGGAAGAAAACTGTTCTAATAAAAAAACTGTTTGCCTATTTTTTTTTGTAAAAAACAAAACTTTTTTACAAAAATTTTGGAGTACAAAAATTCGCGCAAAAAAAACAATTTTTAGGTTCCTTGTCGCTTTTTATGGATGTGCATGAAACAACAAACATCCTGACTCTAAAAACTTTGTTGATTCGACTTTCGTAACGAAAGTAACGGAATATTTGTGCTCGGCGTGGGTTTTTTTTCTTCAAATAAATTTCGACTTTTTAACTAGCCATTTTTGAAAAGTTATGGGGGTTTAAAGATGGCCATTTTGGCCAATTTGGGACAATTAACGCGCAATATATTTCGCGCTATTCACGCGTAAGCGAGATTTAATCCGTCTTAGAAATCGTTCCAAATTGGTTCGAGGAAGATTATATGCCATTATTGATTTGTTAATAGGAGCAAAATCTATCAATTTGTACGTAATATGGCGTGTGGGGGGTGTTTTCACAAAAAACCTCAAATTTCTTGGAAAAAAAAAGTTGAATTTTATTTCACTACATTTAAATTTTCCATGTTATAACTCCTTCATAGACCTTAAAAGGCAGTCGGAACATTCAGGGCTTCGCCCTGATACGAGCAGTTTTGTTTCTCTTTAAAAACTCTGTTACCTCTGAGAACTCAGTTACCTCTGTGAACTCAGTTCTAATAGTCTCAATTAGTTTCTCGATGATGCTATTACACTCTATTCTCTAGATGAAGTGCATTTGTTCTCGTGTGTTAATTTGCGGTCTACGACTTAATTCTAATTTGATGAGAGGGATGTCCCGTCGTGCAAAAATCGACTTGGCCAGACCAGAAAAATCGTTTCGTCTACTTCATTAAGAACATGTGCTTGTTTGTTATTTGCTGTGAGGCGCATTTTCAGTTTTTCTCTGATTCTGGCGAAGTCCAGCTGTTTGGTTCAACAAAGAGCACAGCCTCTTGTAAATACAAGAAGAAAAGCAAAAAAAAAACAAGTGAAAGCGCAAAAGAATACGAGTAAAACCTGAAGAGGATTGTTGTAATTTTGAGATCCGAGTTTCCAAAATTGGTATTTTATTTTCAATTCAACTCGGTAGCTCAACTAAATAAACAAGAAAAGATAAAAATTGCCGCCCAGAAAAACTATGTTCAATAAAACTGAAAAACTTATAATTGTTTCAGCAGCTCGTAAATTTAACGCCATGAGGGGAAATTCTTGCTTTCAAAAAAAGTATTTTCTTTAAATTTAGTTTTATTTTTGCAATTTTTAGATACTTATTATTCTATGACGTACCACGTCGTTGACATCTGCATTGTCTGAGTAGAATGGCTTCTTGTCTCTCTCGTGCAAGTGGATAAAGTTCTCAATGTCAAGGTCAAATGAAGCAGAAGACGCACACTCCGCACTGTTAGTGGCCGTCTCACACTTGTCGAATAGCAGCTGCAGCAAAGGGAACAGAGGATGGCTGAAACAAACATAGCAACAATTGTAGTCCACGAACAGAGAGGTAGGAAGTTCGAGACTCTTCAGGAGCCATTGTTTTCACGCGATAAAAAATAAATGAAACTTGTCCTTAAGTTTTTCTAGTGCGCGAAGCTTAGAAATAATTCAACAAAAAATATATGGATATAATGATGTCCATGATTCGGTATGTTTGCGGAACGTAATGCATTTTCACTCAAAAGCATTTAAATTTTTGTCACAAAATCTTGAAATTTCATTTTTTTTAATCTAAATGTCAAACACATACATACATACATCAAATACACACACACCAGACACACACAAACACACGCGCACACATGATAAGGCAATAACGATAATTGTCAGTGTTTGAAGGTTTAAGGTTCTAGTGCTTAAACCAGCAATTATCGAATCAGGGTGAAACTGGATAGAAATCAGGTGTTGGCCTAAATGGCTGTTATTGAATCCTAAACGACATTAATCACGTTTAACGACCTTCATATGAGTCGAGTGGTTTACGATGTTTTACTTTCACTGCGAACATGTTTTCATTCAATTTGGACAACGCCAAAGTGCCTTTTGTTCACTTTTCCTCTGGCGTTTATTTTATATACAATCTGGATTATATATGTATAATACAACCTAGATTTACTTTGGCTAAGTCTGCATTTTGTTGTAATGTATAGTTGTGGTGTGGTAATGATTGTGTTTGGCATTTGGCAACAGTCGTCTGGCAATAGTCGACTGGAGCAGGCAGTTAAATTTCCGAGTGAATTTAGTTGAACCAAGTTCTAATCAGATGCCACACACCACACAAAACAACCCAACTGACCAGGTAGTCGAGTACCCAAAAACCACAAGCAAAACTTCAATTTTGAGCTTATTTTCAACCAAGTCTAGAAGTTCAAAAAACTATCAAATTAGATCGAAAGATTTATGAAAAGGTTAGAAAAATGGTACGGTTAGAAATTAAGAAAAAACCTCGGTAAATATTTGAAAAAGAAATATATATATATTTTTTTCGATATATATATTTTTTTTTTCGTGAAACGGGAATTGTTTTGGGCAAAAAAAAATTTCTCAACTCTGCAGTCTATTTTCTATTTATTCCAACTCGCCTGATGTTAGTGGGCTTTAAATTTTCTGTTTAGCGGTTGGTGATTATGGTCAACATGTTTAATCCGTTTGTTCTCTGGGTTAGTTAGTTGGTTTCTGTTGTTTACGTTTGTTCAGACTGATTGCACTGCAACAATGCAGTTCAAAAGAATTGACAATAATGGCAGTCAGTCAGAGTCAGTCGTCTGTCTGTTCTTTCCTTTGACAGTGGGAAGGTCTGTCTGCTAATCCCACTGTCGTCTACCTTCCCCCACACTGTCTGCCTCTCTATCTCATTCACTCATTACTATTCTCTTGAAACTATCTCAATTGGCATACAGCTCAACAAGCAGACATTTTCAATGCTTTTGCTATGATTGGTTTATTTTCATTTTGTTTAGAACTCCTAAAATTGTTGGTCAAACTACTTTTTTGGTCGTTTTTTAAAATTACCAAAAATTTGCCAAAGCCAGGTGACAAGTTTCAAACTGAAAATTTGTTAATTAAAAAGAAACAGTAGGTTAGTTGGGAATTAGACAAGACGATACTCTGATCCGATCTAGTCATGGTGTCTGGACAAGAGTGAATGCATGTCTGGGGATTATCTTCTGATCCTAATCATTGTTCCATCACTATGGTCTTATGGTCTTAGGGTGGCTTTTATGGCCGCTCATTACTTCCGCAGACAACGCCCCACTCTCACAACAACCCCCCCTCTGCACTGTGTAGCCTTAAGCGCATTACTAGCGGCCTGATTAGAATCAGGATGTGTACTGCAATTACCTTTGATACTAAACATGGTTTCACAACCGACTTCCTTCTTCGCTTAAAAATTCTATTTTTATCCCATTCTTTTTATTTTCGATTAAAATTACAGCTAATTTTTGGCCTGAGAAGCAAAAGGAAGCCCAAAAAGTTGGCTTCGAAAGCTAACATCACAGTCAAATAAAACTATCAGATGAATTTTACCTACCATGTTTCTGAACATAGTGAAAAATACTGACTCAGACTTTGCATAAATATGTCTCAAGTTTTATAAGCACAACATGGCTTAAGACATGTTAAAATATGTCTTAAGCTATGTTGTGCTTATAAAACTAGCATCAAGAACTAGATTTTCGGCCGATCATTCTTCGAACAATCTCTGATGATTGGAACCTAATTCACATTCAACTGTCACCTGTCAACATCAGTCATTTGAGCAACTTCTGCAATCTGGCTGTAACACAAAATTGCAGTTGGCAACTTTCGTATTTGCATTTCAGATTTCAGTCGATCTAGTTAGACTCTTTCGACCAACTAGAAGCTGATCCGCAAAAAGCGACAGATTGACACAACTCACTTAGGAACTGAGGTGATAGACTCACATAAGCAGCGTCATTCATTGATAAGGGGCTAACTAGTCAAACAAACCAAGGGGTTTACGATGTCTATTTTAGTCTGCAAGACACTCACTCCAATTGACTTGAAATTAGCTTATAAGTAAATATCTCAAAAAGTCACTTGTCTATCTATCATCCGTACCATGTTTTAGTCCACCCACAGGGCGAATGAAACTATGTCACATCATGTGTACCGAGCTATGCTGTTAGTATTACCCATTTTGTTGTATCATTTCATAACTTGTCTAATTAGTAATTCTAGGGGGGCGGCGATAGTAAATGTTCTTTAGAGTTCAGTGGCAGATTGGGTCGCCATTTGATTGAATTTGAAGTCGAGTGTAGATAAAGAGTGATCAAGATGATGACCACGGATGTTTAAAGGACAAACTCTGAGATTGAACTCAACGCAACGACCTTTCTTCTCTCTGTAGGTGAGAAGTCCAGAATATTTTGACTGGCCTTCAACTTAATTCAATTAGTTTTTGACAAAAAAATGGATACAATTTTCAACATTTTTCAATTTTTCGTTCACAAATTCCCTCAGAAGTATTATCAAGATCTATTGGATCTAATTTGCATCTAATGAAGCATTATTCGGATCGTTTATTGTTACTGCTATCACCTTAATAAGAATAGTTATACAAAAGAATACTCATTGGAAACTATAACGAAGATATCCTCGAGAAAAGAAAAAATATCTTCGAGCACAATTTTCCTTCTAAGACTCCGAATAATTGCTAAAAGAGCTTCCAATATGCAAGAAAAAAACAGCTTTGAGCCTGGAACCCTGGACTTTCCTGGCTTCAAGAAAAAATGCCCCTTTGAGTTTTTACCCAACCAATCAATGACTTCAGGTTTGAAAAAAAAATCAGAAAACAAAATTCTAGCAACAATTTTTTCAGGCATGCTGCGATAATGGTGTTTGCATAAAAAATTATGGTCCGCTGCATCTTTCGAGAAAAGATATCCGGTCAAGCATTTTTCTATTTCTTCAATTTCATTCATCCAATAACTTTAAACTCAATCACCATTCATTGGAACATGAGATTTTTCAGCGATTCAAGACGATTAAAACCATTAAGTCGAGTCTTAATCGTGTAAATCTAATTAGTATGATAGTACGCTTAATTTATTCTGTCACAGAGCAAAAAGCTGTTGTTTTTGGTCAATATCTAAACCATGAAAAAGCTCAGATTTAAATCAGACAAGACTGAAAACGTGAAAAAAATGCCAGAAAACAAACATCAGTCTAAAAGCACATGCCAAAATGCAAGATTGAAATTTGGCAAAGCTCTTCTACATTTCAATTTTGTCATTTAATCAGCTTTTAACTAAGTTATGAGCGAGTTTTATATGTGATATTATAAATAAACACCAAGTAAAACTTCAACAAGCAACGTATGTTATAAAGAGCCACGCCAAAATACGTGGCGAAGCAAACATAAACCACGACGAGTGATTGAATTTATAATAACTCGGCTCGTCATTAGTTTATGACATTTCACTTTCACGGTCCATAAATACACCTGAAGCGCTGCTTAATCTAAGCTACTACCACCAACCACACAACTGTGCCTATCAGTAAGAAAACAACTAGACTGTCTCTCAGACTTGAAAAGTAGCCTCGCCTACAAGCAGCTCAGTTATAAAAAGAAGACACGTTTAATCTCGAAAGTCAGAAGAGCAGTGAAGCGAGAGAAACGACATTTTGGCTTCAATAAAAACTAGCAACTGGCAGCCACAAATAGCATTGAATGTTGATAGAACACAAGAAAAATACACACAGAATGCACTTAAGGCCGAGAGCATATTGAGCGACTACTCAACGAGAATTAAGTGTCGTAAAAATGAGCCATAAAATGAAGAGCAAATGACGTACAATGAAACTGTAGTTTACAAAAACATTCATAAAGACAAAAACCGATAGATATATTGTTAGTCTGTCTCACGTTCAAAATCGAAAACCAATATGGATGGTTTCGACACGGACATCGAAGGTGTAGAGTAAATTATGAAAAAGATTTATTTCTCCAGAGATAAGACTATTTAACAAATTCAAGAGCTTTGTATTTCAAAGTCAAATTTAACAGATTCTCGGGTTGACAAAAAATCTTATCATACAATTCCACACTATGGAAATATGCTTATCAAACAATTCCACAGAAGAAACACGAAAAGGCATTGAAAGCAGTTTTCCATAGTATGGAATTGTATGACAAGCATTTTTTCATACTGTGGAACTGTATGACAAGCATTTTTCCATAAAATAATATGTCTAATTTTTAATGAGTGTTACCTTTATATTTTAATGTGGTTTGTCTGAAAACACAATATGAAGAATTTTCTCGGTAAAATATGGTTGGGAAACTCACGAAAAAATTTACAAACTTTTTGTATGCGGCTAGAAAACTTCTACTAGAAAAAACTCATGCCCTCGTTTTTGACCGATTTAAATTAATCCTTTTACATAAATAAACAAAACTGCTCATTTATCAAGGCGAAATTCTGAGTGTTCTGACTGCAC